AACTTGAGRCTTGACTTTATTTACGCTAAGAAAATGTATTTAAAGAATACGTAAACACGGAAACAATGAGGAAATAAAAAGCACCTGTCCTTAAAAATCAACTCGATCGATCATTGCCAAAAAGGAGGCAATTGCACAAATTGAGATTTGTTCTCGCAAAAACTCACGGTCACTTTGGTGGAAATAATAGTAATTTAGCCGGATATACAAAAAATCTTTTTATAAAAATGACTTAAAGTTAAGCTAGGCCTTGAGGTATGGAAACCGTGTATAATTAAATTTTTATACTTGTTTGGGTAAAAAGTGCACATATTTATAACTAAACCACAATTTTTAAATTTATAATATCGCAACCATAAAAGTGTAATACTTTTACCGGTCTAGTGCATTTTACAATAGTCTTAATTACGCGTAATTTTGTGAAATCAGTGAAATTATTTTAATTCACGGTGAGATCATTGTTATGACTGCTGATGATAAAAATGTTATTTCACATGTTTTCAGTTTTATAATTAAAATTACACAACAGCATCAACGAGTCATTACCCTCATTTTTGAACTGAGCAAGCATCCAGCACTGGCGCAATAATGACCTATTTTGTTATTTTCGATTCATAATTCTTCCATTTTACATTTCTGAAATGTGAAACCTTCTTATAATTGTGGATAAGAATCTCAAATTTGAGTATCGTTCGTAGAAATAGTTTTTCAGGTGAAATATTCTAAGCCTTTATCGTTTACAGTTTTGTTTTTTAAAAAGTACTAATTGACGAGCCTTCTAAATAAACTAAAACATCAGAAGTTTTAAAATTTCAATGGTTTTTAGTTTACGTACCCAACTCTTCAAAATAAARCATTTTTCAAGCGGTACAAATCACTCAAATCAAATATGAGAGAGTAAACTAATTTGTTCATGATTGGTGGTGATTTTAAAAAGACAAATTTCGATGTTGAAATTATTTCRAATCAAAAAGCTTCCACTTCAAAATTTTCAGTATTTCAAAATGCAGTTTTTGACTTTTTTGAGGTGGAAGACATTTACAAATCTTTTTAATCGTGTGTTATTAAAAATGGGCGATGATGAATTAAAAATTTAGTTCTGGTTGTTGAAATTTCAGGAATTTCAGGATTACCACTTATTCGTTTCATCAGTACAATTATGTACTCATAGAATCGCATTCAAATTTCTCAAAGTATAAAATTCTACTTTTCTGATATTAATAAATAGTAATAAATAATAATGCTGTTTTATCGGTTTTCTTTATTTTCTTTTCATTAACATTTTCAAACAACCGTAGTTGCAATTTCAAAAGATTCCAGGATGGGATTACCCAAAATCAACACTTCCCACTCAATTCCGTAACTCAAATTACAAATTCCAAATCCAGTTTACGCATGATATAACAGGATCCCCAGATTTCAAGTATTTCAAACAGTTTTGACGAAAAGTAAACAAAGCAGTTTAATACCCACATCATGGCACAGGTATATACAGAAATTTGTATCATAATTTTCTGTATTATTTATGTATGAGACTATAATTATATACACAGTGATTCACATAATTTCTTGTTAATTGAAAAAAAAAATAACCGGACAACTAAAATTTGCCATTTTTCCCATTAAAATTGCACATTGCAACGAACTTTGCAAATCATTGTAATTTAATTCAATAACATCTCTAGTTTTGTCTTGTAAATGTTAAACCTAAAAGATGAGAGCACTGTTTTTTACTTTTTTTATACTGTGCTGTAGTGTGCAACAGAGACAAAATTAAGTTTCTACTTATTTCAGATTAATGCCCGTTCTTTTCTGAGTAACAAATTGTTTCAAAATTTTATCTTCTGGTGCCTCAGAGATACAAAGCATTGAAAAAAACGTTGCTTCTTTAATGTTACTAAATATTCGTTCGGAAAATAGGCTACATAAAAAGGTAGTTAAACCGAAAATTATTGGTTATGACACCAAAAGAGCACAATTACGGCTTTGAACACAAAAAATCTGAAAAACTTGGAACTCTAAAGAATTACAACAAATAAAACAGTTAATTATTCGAAGCTTCCATGTGCCTATTTTGATGTAATGCTTTTTTTGAAGCTTTATATCTCTCATGTCTCAATTAAAATTAAATTACAATGATCTACAAGGTTTTTTCTTTAAACCAAACAAAATTTCGTCGAAATCCGACAAAGAATAACAAAAATTTTAGTTGTCCGGTTAATTTTGGCGGCTAGTGTAGTTGCATTTAAAGTTCGTAATGGTTGTAAAGTTTAGTGAATCACCCTGTAAATGCCATTAGAAGAAAACCGTTTGTTTTGATTTTAAAATTTATGAAGGTCTTCTCCAACAGGTGTATTATTAAACTTATTGACGTCCAGGTAGAAAAAGTTCAAGTTACCTGCCATAAGAAACATTTTACAGGTAAAAGCTGAACAACTGAAAATTCCTAGAAATATTATACCACGCCTAGTGAGGAAAACGTCAATTAGTATTCAGGTGTATGCACTCTACAGTTATAAAGGTAATTTAAAATATTTGTGTATCGACATAAACGTGCCAGTGGAAGATAAAAGTGAATATCGTTTCCAGTTGCGGAATTTTATTTTTGTGTTTTAAGTCAATAATGACACGAACATATAGGAATTATTTATCGTTTGAACGAACAAAGATCTTCCATTTCTTGGCCACACTTCAATTTAGAATTGCGCCAGCAAGTATCTTTTTGACGTGCCAATTATTCATAAAAAACGGTGCTCTTGCAATACTTTGCATAATTTATTTCAGAGACCTAATGTCCCACATATTGTGAGAATTTCCATGGGATTGTTAAACTGGGAATTTAATTGATTATTACACCATCTTCTTCTATTCAAGAACTGGTTGGAATGCGTTAAGCGAATGTTGTTCGTCTTTTGCCGGAAGGCACCTTCTTGACCTTATAAACTATTTAATCATCACACTTCTTGGATTCACATTATGAAATTATCGAAAAAATTATTTAAACAGAATCGTGGTTAGATCAATCTCCGTTTCAAGTGTCGCAATTTCCGCTTTTACGCATCATCCATCACAATTTGGCAAGTTGTAACACCTCGGAGAAAGTTTCAATTGTCAATAATTACAAGCCTACATCTAGTTCATCTAGTTCTCGAGAAAAATCGCACTTCTGAAATGTCAATTTGCGTGAAAACTCGATTTCTAAGTACCCAACTTTCTTGAAAATCGAGCAGTTTGCAATGAAATGTGTAGTCCTAATTGATCTCTCGATGATTACAAAAGTAGAACAAACAAATAGAAAAGTCAGTGCGAGTTTCTCGATCATTTCACCGCACTTTTTTCATGGGGTTGCATTTTTAGCTGAAGAGGAAAGGGTTCGTTAAATTCACAAGAGTCGTTGGCTCGTGAACAATTAAAATGCTTCGCACGCGCTCTCGCTTAGTTGCGTCGTGTTACATCATGTTTAACATTTTAATTGAAGTTGCATTGGCCACTTATCGCAGCAAATGCCCCAAATCTGAGACAAAAGCTAAAAAAATTGTTATTTCAGCTTGGATAAGGAACTGAACAAACTGAAAAATAAATGCAACGATAACAGTTCCAATTTACTGAACTTAAATTTAAGGTTTATTGATGTTTCAATAGCAAAAAAATATTTCCAAAATTTCCAGGAAAACTCATTTATTTTTATCTCAATCAAAAAATAACATTCGCTAGGCCAGACCAAATATTATTTTGCGAATGCAAAAATACAGTTCTCGTTCTTTTTAAGATATTTCTAAAACAGCTTCAAATATATGATTTTCAAAATTAATTTTTGGTCATCTCTTCATGTCTCAATTTTTATCCTCATCGTTGTAACTTATAATTACCACTTGAAAATTTAGATATCCTCTATAGTTTATCATTTTGTTTTAGTTTTTTACCCTTTAATGGAATTATAATATGAAAAGTCTCACGTTTTCAGTCTTAAATCAGTGTTGTCATCTTAATTTCACAGTTACTACCCACTTTCATTAGAAATTTAATTGAACGCCTGATACTGTCATATATTTATAATTTTAAAAAAATAATTAACGGTAATTTTGAATATTTACAAAAATTGAACAAATTGAAAAATAAATGCAACGATAACAGTTCCAATTTACTGAACTTAAATTCAAGGTTTATTGATGTTTCAATAGCAAAAAAATATTTCCAAAATTTCCAGGAAAACTCATTTATTTTTATCTCAATCAAAAAACAACATTCGCTTGACCAATATTTTTTCGTTATCCTTTAGGATTTTTCTTTCCACGTCATTTACGGAATTTAATAAATTAAGTCGTAATTATAATTTAAGATATAATCTAAAACGTCGCGTGTTCTTGTTAATTCATTTTTAATACACATTCACAACTATAATTATTAAAATAAAATGCAAGGTTAATGGGTTATTACCAAAACCATTACCAACAAACAAAACGGCAATTATAAATTATTTCCAAAAGTTATTTGAAACCTGTGCTTTAATATTTTAACTGGAGATTAAACTATTCAGATGAAACTGCATTCAAGTATTGATTTCTGGCGAAAACATGGATACAAACACAAATTTATTGATCAAATTTTGCACTGAACGTTGAATTTTGTCTGGTGTGATTTCAAAAATAACTAAAAATAGCTAAATTATTATCAATAAAAGGTCACAGTGAAAAAAGTAGAAAGAGAGCAATAATAAAAACAAACATAGCGGTACTTTGAGTATAGATTATGACTCCCAATTTGTTTACAAAAATGCAACAATAGGCAATTACGATACTGTTCTGATAAATACTGATTACAACAAAAATAGGTAGGTTTCCGAAAAAAAATAAATTAATTTTAGATTAATTAAAAAAAATTATTATTTGAATGAATAACCATTTTGTGATTTTCCAGAGCTACAATTATTAAATTCATTATAATTTCTGATAGAAAATGTGGGGTGAGTAAATTATTGGAAAAAGATGCGACATACTGACCTCTAGAAATGGTACTCCTGATAAGAAAAAATATGTTTGGTATCACTTGAATTTGTTACCGCCACTTGGTTAATGTTTTGAAAAAGGTCACCATTTAAGGTCAGTGTTTTATTTAAATAACGCACGCATTCTAACTACCACTACACACACCAAACATCCTTGCTCGACTGACTGATTTGAAGCTGATTACAGCTCGTTGGTTGGCGCTGGCTCACCGATTTGGTGGCTCGTTTTCTTTTCTCTCTCAGGTTTGAATTTAGTTTCGAAATGAGAGGTATAAGGCGCCACCGGTCGGTAATATAAGTTGGTGAAGGTTTGAAACACTGCTGCCGATTTTTAGCCAAGTATCAATCCTGATCCCGAGTTTTGAACACAAAGTTTGAAGTTAAAAATTCTGTTTGATAGTTGGTTAAAACAAAATTAATTTTCCATTAAAGGAAACTTGACAATATTGCTATTTTTAGACTTGTCAGGCATGTAGTTTGTACAGGATGAATCAGATTTAACCGTCACTGCAATCTTTGGTATGAATTATGATATAAGTTTATACCATCTGATTCAAAAAGCTTCCATAAAAAAATTAAAATTACAAATACGTATTTAGAAAACTACATGAAAACTACATGAAAAAAATTTGAAGAAAATTGATAAATTTCGGTTTTGTATTCACTTTTATTRTTTCTAATTGTCTCTTATGGAAACCTTATTTTCGACAATTTTTAATTTTCTTGTTGATCTAGTTGTAGCAAAAATCAATAGTTTTCTTGTTTTACTTTTTTTTTTTCAAGGGGTCAATAAGAAAGGAGGTGTTATAAGAAAGAAAAAAACATTTTAATTTTTTTTTTAGTAATTCGTAATAAGTTTGTTTATAATCCATAAACGGAAATTGGCTAACATAATTAGGAATGTTTAGAAAAAAAAACGGTTTTTGACAATTTTTTGGTAATTTCAAACAGTTTTTTATAGTCGAAACTTTTTACAGCACTTTATGAACTTTTAATTTCAAGAACTCAATGCCTTTTTAGGTTGTCTTAAAATGAGTTTCTGCAAACGTCATAAAAGTGACCACTTTTATTACTAAATGTCAATTTTAATTACTAAATTATCAGCATTCGCATTTTGCACTACTAACTGCACTAGTTATATTAATAAATACTTTCGAAAATATCAATACAATTTTTTTTATAAACGTTATTACTTGCAAAGCGTCCTTATTATTTTGTTCATTTACTTGMTAATTATAGCGTTGCATTTTACTCTCGATCTGAATACGTTTGCGGATAAAATAGTATGTTATTTTGAGTAAAAGTAAGTTTCTGTGACTAAGTCAAATTATTTGCCTCACTACGTTCAGCAAAATAAACGTTCAGCTTTGCCACATAAACTATCACTTTTAGTTCTAATAACATAATGTACTATTTTTGAAAATTTTTTTCATACGTCATGTGCTCACTTTTTTAATAGTTGCTTATTAGAATTCTAGGTTTCTAAATATCATTTTTTCGGTGTGCTTTGAGTTTTAAAAATACGTAATAATCGTTTTAGAGAGCGAATGCAAAAAATACAGTWCTCGTTCTTTTCAAGATATTTCTAAAACAGCTTAAAATATATGATTTTCAAAATCTCTTTATGCCTCAATTTTTATCCTCATCATTGTAACTTATAATTACCACTTAAAAGTTTAGATATCCTCTATAGTTTATCATTTTGTTTTAGTTTTTTACCCTTTTATGGAACTATAATATGAAAACTGGCAAGTATCACGTTTTCAATCTAAAATCAATGTTGTCATCTTAATTTCATAATTACTACCCACTTTTATTAAAAATTTAATTTAACGCCTGATACTATGTGATACATTTATAATTTGAGAAAGATAATTAACGGTWATTTTGTAATTTACAAAATTTTTTCTTAGTGTTAATTTTTTTTTAAGTGTTACATACAGTTACAATTTTTGGTAAGACTATGTCACAAAATTTTATGTTATCATGTGTTTGTTTTTACTTTTTCAATACTCTTTCTTTTAATCGAAAATAAGACAACTATCATTGCAAGAATATTTATTTATTAATGAGCAATTATGAAGCAGTTTCTTATCTCATCTTTTTCAATCATGTGCAAGCCAAATGTCTGATGTGCAATCACCTCCGGGGTATCTAAAAACAATGATTTTGCAAAAATTTAATAAATTTTATATAAATTGAACAAACCTCATTTCATGAGCCAAAAGTGGTCCRTCAGGCCCAATTCCAAAATCAACCAAAAAGTTCTCATCCAATTTCATCCCACCTTTCTCTGTATCGATATCGATTTTAACAATAGTCGCACCTTTTTCTATAGTCTCAGGATAAAATTGTCGATC